GTCAGTTTTAGGTGCCCATAGCCACACTCACCCCAAGTCTTTTCCTAGACAATTCTAGCACCTAACATGTCTTGCTGGTTCACCTCCATACCTCTCCTCTCCTTGATGACTGTCTTGAGGGTATTTAGAATAATAAATAGAGGCATGCCCTAGTCTGATCCTGTCCTGAGTCACATTACCCAAGGGAAAAGTTTTACTGGGTTTTTGTTGCCCCCAATTTTTCTTATTTCTCATCTTTTTCTACTTAGGATATAGAAGATTTTTCAACCCTGGAAGGCCCTGGATCTCTGGATTCTATTTCCCTTGAACACCATGTAATTCTTCCCTGAGCTCACCTCCTCCTCGTAACTCCTCACCAAATGCAGACAAAAGTAACCGACAGAGAGGACTAGCTTCTGGCTTTCCAACCTCTTCTCCGTGGGTTGCCAGCTTGGAAGGCACGTGGGGTTCCTCTCAAGTTAGAGAAGGCAACAGCTTTACCAAACATTCTGCTAATGCATAACATAGTGAAGACCATTACAGTGCATCGTTAAAATTAAGTTCCGGGCATCACTTCTTTTTTTAACTAACTGCCTTTTTCTACTTGAGTTGGAGACACATTATCTAGTGCAATATCTATAAACATTTTTCACCTCTGCAGGACCCCGATGAGAGGGTGGGAGCCAAGAGAAACATGGGAGTGAGGGGCCTGGCATGAGTCTCTGGCTAGGAGTCAGCACTGGCTTGTCAGCAAAAGCACAGGACCCGGGGGTGTGCGGGAGGTTGGGAAACTCATCTCTGTACCCTGGAATGGGGTTCGTGTGGCCTTCCCAACCAGCCACATCCGGCTCCCAGAGCCAGCCTCCAACTCGGAGGGAAAGGACAGATAGTGACAGGAAGATCCAAAAAGCTTCAAACCTCATCTCTGCTGCTCGAGGTAAGGATAAAACCCTTGACACAGGGCAGTCTGAGCCCTGCCCTCGGACTGCCCCCCAAATCCAAAGTGTCTCTCTCAACTCCAAACCATCATCTGGAGGTGGCACTGGTCCTGCTTGGAGGGCTCAGGGGATTAAGGCTGGAGCTGCTGAGGCCATGCGGTCATTTCTGCAAGAGTCAGGGCCCAGGGGTCCTGCAGGGAACCAAGGGAGGGGCTCCTGGTCCACAGACCAAGATGAGATCCGGGACGAGAAGCCAGCAGCTGGGGAGGGCTGATGATGGCCTTCCTGTTCGGAGGGCGTGTAGCCCACGGCGCCTGCCCAAGGCCTGCCTTCAAATGCTTCTCCTCTGTGACTTTGAGCAAGTAGCTTAATCTCATCAGGCCTCACTTATCTCATCTGTGGAAGGGGAATGACAACCCTGCCTGTCTCTTAACGACCATCGTGGGCATTCAGTGAGAGTCCAGGGGAGGCTCTCAGCAGCACTGGGCCCGCCATTAGCAAAGAGCACGGTTACTAAGGCGCCAGGTCCCGTGCTAGGCACCTTACATGCAGGACTTCATTTGGTCCCTACACCCACGTGTGCGGGGAGGTTCCTTTCCTTTCCGTTTTACAAAAAAAGACACAGAGCTATGGAGAGGTTAAATTAACGTGCCCACCTGGCTGATGAATGGGAGATCTGGGAGTCTTACTTAGGTCTGATTCTCAAGCTGCTGCCCTTACCTGCCCGGCTCTATTTGCCCTAACCGTGTGTCCCCAGGCATCGCCAAAGGTGAACCTTTCACTCGATACTAACGAAATAACCTGAAAGCCACTGGCAAACAAAATGCACATCTTAATGTCATCGTTTGCTTTAAAACTACAGGCTATGATGTGTCGTTATGGAAGATGTGTTCACGGTGCCCTTTTTAAAGAGAACATCCTCCTCTTTGGCAGGAGTATCTGGATTCAGGCAAGACTTGGGACCCAGCAAAAGACTCTGACTCTTCTCCTGGGACTACAGGTCAGGACGTGGTAGATTTCTTCTCTGCACATCTTTCCCTTTCAAGCCTCTTATCTTGAATAGCTTCCCCTTTTCTGTAATCCACCTTAAAATGCCAGACTGCTGACAAGACAGGTGTTCCTTTAAGCGGCAAGGGCTCCCCCTGCCTCAGGCCATCTGTCCCACCAATGCCATTGTAGCCGGCTGGGGAAGGCACCCTTCCTCACTCCCAGAGGGCTTCCTGGGAAACTCAAGCGTCCAGGGTGGCTTCACTGGAAGCTGATTGACACTGTTCACCTGACAACTGCAGGATGGCAGGCCCACCCCCTCAGACACGGCCGGCTGTGCTATTGGGGGGCTGTCGGCTCAGAAGTCTCCCAGACCTGCTGGCCCCTTAAGGCTGCCCGGCTTCTGTATCGTGAACCCTTCCTCTTCCTCGAGCCACGGCAGCGTGGCGGATGGACTGACAGACAAATGTGAGACTCTCAACCGTGCCAGCAGAATCTCTTTGCCTGGTGATGTTTAAAAATATGAACCAGGTTTGTGAGCGTGCCACCCTGGCCAGAGCTGTGACACAGACCAGAGAACCTCCAGATAATGCCCGAAGCCAGCAATGACCCCGACAGACCCCCTCCGGGGCACGGAGCTCGGGCAAAGGGGTTTGGCTTGTGCATTCTGAAGACTTGAAATGATTAAGAGAGGCCAGAATGGGAAGAGAACAGCCTTTGTGAGCCAGTGTGACGGGTCACGAGGCAGCCTGGCGGGCAGGACTCACAAAACCACTTCAGGTGGGCAGCGCAGGGCCAGAAGCTCCTCTGCCAGGCCCCGGCTTGGAGAGAGGTCACTGGGCCGTGATGTGTCAGACTGAGAGCGATGGGGCCGGCTCCTGTTCCCCACAAGTCCTTGGGGGGCTGCTGGCCCTTGCTATTTGTTTATTAATTTTTAAAAAATGCACTGTGGGCTGGCCTAGTTTTAGTTAACGCCTAATAAAGGGAAGAACTGTTTACATAGCACCCCTGGGTCTGACACTGAGCAGCTGAAGTTAGCAAGATCCTTCACTGCCTGAGCTGACACAAGCCAGCAGCCTGGGAGGAAGACCGTTCTTTAGAAGCATGCCAGGCCCGGATGGCAGTGCCAACAGTTGAACATCATGTTAAAGGAGACAAAATCAGGGTCAGGAGACCTTGAAACCCTGGGGGGAAAAGGCCCAAGCTGCCCACTAGGCCGCTGGGGTGGGCTGCGGGAGCGTCCAGAATGGATGGGCAAGTCGCTGCCCGGTTTGTGTGCACATCTTACAGTCCAGCTCGCTCCACAAACTCTCCGGCTGCTTAACGCCCTCCACCCAGCACGTCAAACGAGTCCCCAAGTGGCCGGAGTCTGCGGGGAGTCCCAGGGGACGTTCTCTTGAGAGCCCTGCTTCTGCCTCCCAGCTGTCACTCTGACGCCTGCTTCTCGCCTCCAGGGCGTCTTCTGTCTCCCCTGGCTGCTAAGACACCCCCGTGGTTCTGCAGAAGGCTCGGCTTTCCCACCTGCACAGGAGACTGCCCCGCACGAGTTCTGGTGACCTCAGTGACATGCCAGGTGACTGGTGTTAGGAGGTGGCTTTTAAGGCTCAGGCTGAGGCCTCGACCAAGCGTTGTTGACACCTAATATCTACATAGAGCTGAGTGTGCTGGGGGCCGTGGAAGAGTTTTCGAGCTTTTTCTCTTCTCATCTGAAACTTACAATCAGCTAAGATAGGGAGAGTCATCACCCCCATTTTATGGATGAGGGAATGGGGGCTCAGGGCAATGCACTCAGCCAACAGATGAGCAGCGGAACCGGGATCCGAACTTGAAACCAGTGCCGACACTGCTCCGTTACTTACGCGAGCTGCCCTGGGCAGCCACAGGCTTACTCTGGAAAGCACCTGGCAGGTTCACGGTCTCAGAATGATCACGTCTTTGCCCTAACTTTGCAAAGCATGAATTCCTACTAAGTTTCCACCAGTAAAGAGTGGTCTAGTAGAAAGTTCATACGCTTTGGAGGCAGAACTAAAGGAGATTGTCACTTTCTGACTAAATAGCTACTTGACCTTGGACAAATTGCTCTCTGGGCCCACTTTCTCATCTACAAAATCAGCATAACACCACTTGTCCATAGGGGTGCTGTGAGGCTTTCACAGGGTCGTGTAAGTAAAGGCTAGTTTTCTTCTCTCCTTAGCAGGGTACACGGAGGGGCAGGGAGGACCAGGAGGAGGCTCTCCAGAATGCTGGAAGCAGGCACTTCCTCTCTGCGTGCATCTTCTGTGATCACCAACCCCGTGCTCATCCATCCCGGACCGCCTTCTGAGGTCGACACCCTTGGCTGGTCCTGGCCCAGCTCGGGTGCCGACAGCTCTGACTGGGTTACAGATCTGAGGGCAAAATCCCTCCAGGGAGACCACTGCTAGCCACACATTAGTCTTCCGGTCCGGGAGCTCAGCACTTCCAACCGATTCCTTCTAAGATGTTACTGCTTATGTGTTGTCAATTTGTCAACTACAATGATGGGGAAGACTGCAGAAATACAGAAAAAGTTTGCCATCGTGCCACATGGGGATAAACCCTGTGGTTGTCACCTTGTATAACTCTGGAGACAAATGACTATGGATTATGTGAGGACAGAATTAAAATAATTGTGTGAGGGCCGGGAACTGTGATTCTTCCTTCATAAAATATTCTTTAATATTTAATTATCTTTCAGTTTACAGAGTGAACGTTCTAGAGAAAATCTGATGAGGAGGATGTGGACTTGTCAGTAGCATGCCCACACATCCCTGCTTGCTGCCCTCGTTCTGCCTGCCGTGCCTCTGAAAGATTCAGCTCAGGGGGCTTGGGTCTGCTGCCCTGGCAGGAAGGACCCTACTGGGTGGGAAAGGGGGGGTGGGGGGAGGGATTTCACTTGAACAAAGCCCTGGGCTGCTGGGGAAGCTTACCACCCAGCCCCCACAGCTGGCTGCCTCTCTGCACTGAGCACACACACTTCCCGCTAAAGCAATGAGCCAGCACCATCCCCTCCCCAACACTGCCCTCCTGTGGCAGAGGCCCACCTCCGGAGCCGGGAGCCAGAGAAACAGGCCAGAGTGCCAGCAACACCAGCAACCGCTTTTAGTCTTAAAACTGAACCAACAAAGTTTTAGAATGAGTCACACCCAGTATTTACATGTCCTGAGAGATGGGTCCATCATTTGAAGCAAGACAAACAGTTTGGGTGGGCTGAGTGTCTCAGGAGAAGCAGGAAGCCGAGGCCAGTGTCTATCCTAAGTTAGGGTCCGTGGACCGAGCCCCGACGGCAGGCGGTGGTGCACAGCTCAGTGCGGCTTTTCGAAGAGGTATTCCAGATCTGGGGCGCGCAGCCTCTGCTCTTTGTTTTTGTTTTTAGCAAAGTCTCTCAGCAGTGCCATGACTTCATTTTCAAATATTTCTGGGGCCGGTTTTGCTTCTGCAAGAGAAGAATGGGCAGAAAGAATGAGGTCCATTAATACTCAGGCATGGGGACCCTGACTCTTGAAACTCTGGCCTTTGCAAAGAACCAGTAGATATACAGCCTGTCTCTACTCTTCCTCTAAATATACACGGTGGCCTATAGTGGGAGCTGGCGAACCATGGCTGCCTGCACATGTGAACAGCTCTACTGGAACAGCTGCTCCCATCTGTTTACGTGCTGTCCACGCTGCTTTTGCACTAGGATGGTAGAGGTGAGTAGTTGGCAACAGAGACCATATGGCCACAAGACTAAACTATTTACTGTCTGGCCTTTTATGAACAAGTCAGCTGACTCCTGGCCTGTCCAAGCTCGGTGGCACTATTTTGCTCTGCACTTGGTATTTCAGTGTTTTCTGGGTATTGTGTTTCTCCTTCCAGCTTATACATTTCCTGAGGCAGAAGTCCTAGGTTGTACATGACAGACTAGTAGCTCTACCAACTTCAGCAAAAAAGAATTCATTAGAAGGCTATCAGAGGTACACAAAATGGACATGAACCTGGAGAACCAGATGTGGATGGAGAGGCCACAAGGGCATGGACAGCAAAGCCACGAGACTGCTGTCTTGGGGGTGTGCAAGGGGGCCCAGTATGCCTGCTTACCTCCCACCTCTCCACCTGGAGACATCGCTTAAGATTCCAATTACAAGCAAAGCCTCCCACGGGGGAAGCTTAGGTAACGTGCTCGAGAATGATCCTCCTATCAAGACTACAACGCTAGGAGAGAGAATTCCTCAAAGCTTAATTCCCCCTCACTCAGCACAGAGCCCAGCATCTAGTGGGCTTGGTGTTGGGTTTTTTTTGTAATGATTGAAATAAAGTCCAGGAGGTTTAGGCTTCCCCCAAGGACTCTGCAAGCTGGAAAGAACACCGTGCTCAGAAAAACTACAAATAGCATGACTTTCTGCGAAGTCATCCAAGAACCGAGGTCACAGGGCAACCAAGTAGAATAAAATCTAAGGGAAGAGAAGCCCCTCAAAGGAGAAACTGTACATGAGCACCTGCTCGCCTGAGACAGGGCCCAGGAAGAAGAGACACTGGATACCATCCGGCCAGGTAAGAAGAGTTCGGCTAAAATTTTTAACCAACTGCTACAAGCCAAGTAGCGGCTAGCCACAGACACCACACGAGTGAGTACACGCCCTACAGGCTGTTCTCAACAAACCTCCAGAGTGTGCTCGTGACCAAGACCAGGGTCAGAGCAAGAGGCGGGAGAATGCCTCCCTCAGAGATGTAGGCCAGGAGCAGCGAAGCAGCCAACACCGCAAAAAAAGCATAAAGCCTAGCCCAGCCCTTCTCCTCTACCGAATAAAAGCCTTAAGAGACTGGGAGTAGGTCTGCAAATCCTGTCTCCTACTTGGAACATGTGAGGATCCATTTGGGATGGTGAAAAGAGAAAAGGGAAAAAAAAAACTCGTCCTGTGGGACAGACAGGGCCACGGAGAAAGCCCACCCAAGACCCGGGGCCACAGGGACTGAAGGTGAACCAGGATAATGGAGACTGCCCTCCCAACTTCGCTCCCCGCAAGTGGGAAGTAACAGAGATCTACTGCCGGGAAAGGGCAAGAGCATAGAGATTCCCTTTGAGGCACAGAAATAGGAGGGGGACGCATGGGTGGCTCAGATGGTTAAGCATCTGCCTTCGGCTCAGGTCATGATCCCAGGGTCCTGGGATCAAGCCCCACATCAGGCTCTGTGCTCAGCAGGGAGCCTGCTTCTCCCTCTCCCTCTGCCTGCCTGTCTGCCTACTTGTGATCTCTCTCTCTGTCAAATAAATAAATAAAATCTTTAAAAAAAAAAAAAAAAAAAGAAAAAGAAATAGGAGGAAGGCTGAGAGCTGAGGGTAGAACAGGAACATGGAGAAATACCCTCCAGAAACTCAGCCCCTGCTCTACGCAGATGGTAGCAACAGAGGCTTATGCTGCAGTGAAGGGGAGCAAAGCAGTAACAGAATCTAGGTGAGCTTAACTCCTAACTAGACTGACTTGATCCCCATACTAACAGCCTACTGAAAGCATGCCCATTTCTAGGCATAAATACTATTTACTTCACTCTTTACGGTCTTACTTATAATGTCTAACGCTCAATCAAAAATTATGAGATACACATGTGCACAGAAGAAGAAAAACACAACACACTGTGAAGGGACAAAGCAATCAATGGAAAAAGCCTTGGGGATGACCCATATGTTACAACTATTACGGAATTTAAAGTAATTAACATGTTAGGGCACCTGGGTGGCTCAGTCATTTAAGCATCTGCCTTCGGCTTGGGTCATGATCCTGGAGTCCCGGGATGAAGCCCTACATCAGGCTTCCTGCTCAGCGGGGAGTCTGCTTCTCCCTCTGCCCTTCTCCCTGCTCATGCCCTCTCTCTCTCTCTCTCTCAAATAAATAAAATCTTAAAAAAATAATAACTAAAATATTAAAGGTTCTAGTAGAAAAAGTAGACAAGGGGCACCTGGGTGACTCAGTCAAGTGTCTGCCTTCAGCTCAGGTCATGATCCCGGGGTCCCGGGATCGAGCCTTGCATCAGGCTCCCCACTCAGCAGGGAGTCTGCTTCTCCCTCTGCCCTTTCCCCTGCTCATGCCCTCTCTCTCTCCCCCATTCTCTCTCTCAAATAAATAAAATCTAAAAAAAAAAAAAAAAAAAAAAAGGAATATGTTAAAGGCTCTAGCAGAAAAAGTAGACAAAATGTAGGAACAGATGAGCAACTCCACTAAAGAGCTGGAAATTGTAAAAGCCAAATGTAAATGTTAAAAATAAAAATACAGTAGCAAATAAGCAGACTGACCTCAACAGGCTCATCAAGAGACTCAACACTGCAGTCAAGGAAAGAACTGGCGAACTGGAAGACAGGTCAATTAGTCTTACACAATACAAATTTCCCAAACTGATACATAAAAAGAAAAGACTTAAAGACACAAAACAGAATCCAAAAGCTGTAGGGTAAAAGTACGCAGTGTAATGGGATCCAACATGCCCAGAGAACCCAAGCAGGAAAAATATCAAGAACAAACATCAAGACATATCATATTCAACAGCTAAAAACCAAAGATGAAATGCTGTATACATTCAGGAAGAAAAGATACATTACATATATAGGAATAAAGAGACACAGCGGACCTCTTGTCAGAAACTACACACACCAGGAAACAGCACATGGTAACTCTATAGGAATTGGAAGTTAAAGGTATGATGAAGGTAACCAAAACAGCAAACCCAAACCCAGCACAGCTCCCAACCAGACAGACTCAATCCTGCACACTAACAGCAAAACAAATGGGCCCCTGTAAAGTGCTGAAAGACAATACTGTGAACCTGTAATTCTATACCCAGTGAAAATACCTCCTAAAAATGACAAAAACAGGGATAATTCCTAATAGCAGAGCTGCACTACAAGAAATATTAAAGGAAGTTCTTCAGGCAGAAGGAATAGGATACCAGATAGAAACATGGATCTATACAAAGAAATGAAGATCTCCAGAGAGAACTAAAATAAAGGTAAATATAAAATATATTTGATACACTGTTATTTATTATTGTACAAATATAAGACATACTATAAAAATTATAATTTAGGGGCACCTGGGTGGCTCAGTCGTTAAGCATCTGCCTTCGGCTAAGGTCATGATCTCAGGGTTCTGGGATCGAGCCCTGTATCGGGCTCCCTGCTCCGTGGGAAGCCTGCTTCTCCCACTCCCCCTGCTTGTGTTCCCTCTCTCACAGTGTCTCTGTCAAATAAATAAAATCTTTAAAAAAAATAAATAAAATATATAATTTATATAAATTATATATAAAATATCTTATTCTTTTCCTTATTTTAAACTGCTCTAAACAATTTTAAATTGTCTAAAATATAGTATGGGCTTACAACATAAGTAGAAGTAAAAAGTACGATAACAACAGCACTAAAGATGGGAGGGAGGAATTGGGAGTATATTATTGTGAAGTTCTTACATCTTATGTGATGCAGTATAATATAACTTGAAAGGAGACTGATTCATTAAGGATGCATATTGTAAAGCCTAAGGCAAGCACTACAAAAAATGATAACAGGAAGTATAAACAATAAACCAAAAATGGAGGTCATATGAAATTTAAATTCTCAATTAAAAAAAACATGGAAAATAGAGGGGGAAAAGGAAAAAAGAAAAGATGGAAAAAACAGGAAACAAAAAGACAGTAATTTTAATTCAACCACATTGTTCACTGAATAAATGCAAATGGCCAAACACCCCAATGAAAAGATAGAGACTATAAGACTGAATAAAAAAGACTACAGGGCACCTGGGTGACTCAGTCAATTAAGCATCTGCCTTCGGCCCAGGTCATGATCCCAGCGTCCTGGGATTGAGCCCCACCGTCAGGCTCCCTGCTCATCAGGGAGTCTGCTCCTCTCTCTCCCTCTGCCTGCCGCTTTGCCTACTTGTGCTCTCTCTCTCTGTCAAATAAATAAAATCTTAAAAAAAAAGAGAGAGAGAGAGACTACATATGCTATCTATAAGAAGCTTGATCTAAGTATAAAGATAAAGATAGGTCAAAAGTAAAGGAATGGTGTGGAAGGCAGACTTCTAGGTTGGCCCTCAGTATTTCCCACTCCCCTGGCATACAAGCCCTGCATAATCTTCAGGACTGTGAACTTGATGATTTTCACTACTAGGTTATGTTATATGGCACAGCTGACCTCAGAACAGGGAAATTATCCAGGTGGTTCTGACCTAATCACACATGCTCTTTATTTCGTTTATTTTTTAAGGGGGGGACAGGGAGAGGGAGAGAGAGAAGCTTAAGCAGGCTCCACACCCAGCACGGAGCTCGATCTCACAATCCTGAGATCACGACCCGAGCTGAAATCAAGAGTCAGATTCTTAACTGACTGAGCCACCCAGGCACCCCACATGTGCTCCTTAAAAGCAGTGTTCTCCAGCTGGTGGCAGAAGGAAAGTCAGAGAGATT